TGACCCTAAATGACGAATAACAACTGACGAAAACTAAACTAAGACTGCCACGACCTAGCATCTAGTCTTGTGTTGTCCATGGTCTCCTTCATTTTAACTTAAGTTAAGAGTCTAGACAGATGATCGACTCTGGGACTTGCTGCATTTCTGTGGGGGCTGCCAAACTAAAACCATTGGAACCACTCAATAATTACGTATTGACACAATGTCACAACGCACGTAGCAGGATTGCCACAATGATTTCTGATTGTGATTGAATGCCACATGGAAGGCTCAGAACTTACAAGTATATAGAAGTAAATCTTAAATTAAATAAACATCAGACATTCTATTCAATTGAATGCTTGATTTGACTCTTGTACTTGACATTGACATGTTCTGTGTCCAGCAGCTAGCAAAACCTGCCATTTTTACCTGCAAACTGGGCACTGAGCAGAGTCGTTGATTGGATTCTGCGTCATCCCTTCTTGGACCCTGGAGGTTTGTGCGCGCTGAAGATAGAAACACTCTTACTCTTGCATAGTGACACTATATAAATATATTAATTAAATAAACAGCTCATGATCCAATATTGACACTCACTCAACGCACACGTCTCCAAAGGACCAGGAGCAGGTCTCTTCAGGGTGAAGGGAGCAATGACGCTCCCAGGTCCTTTCAAGGAGAATCTTCACAGCGACACTGTCCCGACCTGTAGCCCCCCAGCTTTTGCTGGCACTCCAGCGCTGACGCGATGCTATGACTCTGAAGCATTTGTTGAAGTAGTCTTTCATGGCTCTGTAACCAAACTTGGGATGCGGCAGGTACTTTGTGACCCTTTCAGCTGTCCATGACTCTGAGGATTCGAATGAGATGGGCTTTCTTCTGCCAGAGGTTGACTCAGACGCTTTGCCATGTGTCTTCTTGCGAATTTTTCGGACCTTTGAAGTGATGGACTTCGCCACTTTGACCCTTGCATGGACTCTCTCTTGTTGTTCCGCAGCATCCTCATCGATCTCGTCATCGCGATCTGTCCCTACCATTTCATCCAGCGCACCACTCTGACACAGGGCCATGTAGTCTTCAGCTGCTGTGTCTCCAGCGCGCCACTCCAAAGACCGCTCCATGGACTCTAACACTTCCTCTTCAGTTGCCTTTTTGCCCAGGGCAGCTGACACTGCAGTGTGCAAAACTGTTCCCAGGTCGTCTTCGTTCGGAAGCATGATACCGAACTCGTCCTGGCCGTATTGCTAACTGACTGTTTCAGTTATCAAAGGATGATTTTATTTCGACCGCTCTTGTGTAAGATAGGCAATGGGCTTAAGAGATTGTAATGTAATGGCACTGACGGAACTGAAATCATGGATTGCTAGCAGCAGCCTCTGACTTGCTATGTACTTATTAGTTTCAATCCCCAAATGCCCAAACTCCTACTGCACAACTGTGGCAGGAACGCAAGACACTACATCACTGGACCTTCACCCCAATCACACCCTGACCCTTGGCTGGACTCATCCAACACCAGGCTCCTTCAGCAAGCGCTTCATCAAGCTGACTGACACTGTGTGGAAGCCCTCCCTGGCAGAGTACTGGAGCAATGGCACTGTAGTCTTGCTCTTCTCCCAGAAAAAACCAGGAAGATCTGGCACTCGCAGGTCTGCGTGACTCTTGACTTTTGACTTCTGCCCCATCATCAGTGCCACCCGCAATGGGCTTGCCAGGACTGTATCCAAGACACTCCAGTCAGCAAAAGAAGAAACACATTTGAACTGACACTGGATTCTGCTTGGCAGCCTGTAAAAATACAGTTTGTGACCCTCAAGCTCGACGCGTTCCAAAGGGATAACGCAAGTGGCACTGTTGTTTGGCCAGGGTCCCAGTGACAAGTAGATTGACGCATCACCCTTCTGCTTGATCACCAGGCCTGACACTAAGAACGCAGTTCGCCAACTGTTCATCAACTTCTTGAGTGACTCTGGGCCCTTGACGCTGCCCTCAACCAGAAGCATCTGCTCAGGCACAAGTGACGCTGCGTAGAGCGGGGACACGGAAGGCCACGTCTGACTCTTCATGACGTCCTTCATCTGCGGTGATGACGCTTGGAGACGCTTCGTGTGATGTATGCTGGCAGGCAGTGGGTTGACACTGGCTCTTGCAGCATCTGGCGAAATCTCTGTGTACCCAAACCTCTGCAAGATGCTAGCATTGCACAGCTGCGACCAGGAATCGCTGACACAGTACTCGTGGGCTTTGTTCTCATGGCTTTCCTTGACTCTGGGTTTAGACAAGAAGCTGATCAAGGATCAAATTACTCACTGTTTGTTTTATTTCGAACTGACCCTTTAATCTTGGAACCCAACAGTGCTTGCTTAAATTCATTAATAAGAACACATACCTGCTAAATTTAAATGACTGCTGAAATGAAATAGCGATCACCACGTGTTTGGGACAAGGGTTGTAGGGTTAAAGCCCAAACTTTAGGATTTAGGGTTTATTGGGTTTACGAGGTTTACTGTTTATTCATATAATAATAATAAGTAACTCAATCCAGAACTGCTGACCGAAGTTCACTCTGACGCAGGGTCGAGAAGCCTTCTTCATTGAACGTGAAGACCAAGCCACTAAACAGCTCGCGCATCATAGTGACCATCACGTCGTCTGACACTTCCAGCCTGGCAATGTCCTGCACGAGGATGTGACGCGCAGCATTTCTCTTTGTCACTGTTTTGCACCATGGTGTGTTGACACTTTGCGCGAGTTTGTCTGCATCCAAGAACTTCTTCAGTTCAGCCCGAACTTTTGCCGCCTGCTGTGACCCTGCACACGCCGCAGCAAGCCGTAGAGGGAAAACTTCGTTTGACATCCTGCCAAGGGCAATATCGAATCTGACACTTCCAACACATTTGTTTATAATAAATGACACTATCTACAAAACGCTTCTATTGCTAGCTTTGGCACTCATAGATGCACATGTACCTCATGACACTCAATGCATAGCTCACCAGCCTTTGAAACAACCAGTCTTGGAACTGGACACTGGCGCTGTCTGTTGTCAATGTATAAAAATACATTGACCCTTGAATCTCATTGGTGTCGGCGATGCCTATGAGCGCATGACTCTGCTGGTCCAAAGCAGCTGACACTATCTTGTTCAAGGTGCCACGCCATTGACCCT